GTTATTTATCCTGGGATTTCTTCTATGTTATTGAATAATTCATTTGATTCTCTGACAGCAGGCTTTCTTTTTAAACCATGATTCACTTCTCTGCCTCCTAACATCCAATACATTAGTAAGTCCTTCTGACTCTTTCTAAAATATATCCTGAATCTGACCAGTTCACTCATATTCCTTATAATTCCTTTAGTTCAAACCATCACTTAAAGTAATCAGAACATGAGGTGTTTTTTTTTTCTTTAGTAGGATTTCTTGAAATCGTATTACATTTTTAATGGCTTTTCAGATTTTTCAATGTGAGTTGTAAAGTTAAAATATCTTTGCATGTACATATTTTTGTGTTATTTGAAATAGACAAACAATTGCAGCTGACACTGTACCACAAAACCAGTACCATGGTGACTTTTACCACAAAACCAGTACCATGGTGACTTTTTCTTTTAAGATCCATTTATTTTTATTTGGAAGGCAGAGTTTACAGAGAGAGGATAGATAGAGTGAGAAAATCTTCCATCTGCTGGTTCATTTCCCAAATGGCCGCATAGGCCAGAGCTGAGCTGATCTGAAGCCAGGGGTCAGGAGATTCTTCCAGGTCTTCCACACCAAAGACTTAGGCCATCCTCTATGGCTTTCCCAGGCCACAAGCAGGGAGCTGGATGAAAAGTGGAGCAGCTGGGACACGAACCCATCAGTGCACATATGGGATGCCAGGCTCCTGGCCACTTAGGGAGCGATTCAATGGACAGAAAACTTCCTCTCTGTCCCTCCTTCTCTCTGTATATCTGACTTTCTAATAAAATTAAATTAAATTTAAAATAGCAGGAAGTAATTCACTCTGTTAAAAAAAAAAAAGACTTATTTGAAAGCCAATTAAAGTGGTCAGTGTTCCATCTGCTGACTTCACTCCCCAAGTGTCCACAAGGTCAGGGATGAGCCAGACCAAATCCAGGAGCCAGGAGTTTCATGTGCGTCTCCCATAGGGGTCATAGGGACCCAAACATGTGGACCAACCTTGTGTTGCTTTGCCAGGCTCACTACCAGGGGACTGAATTGGAAGCGGAGCAGCTGGGACCCAAATTAGCACCTGTAAGATATAATGGCATTTTAGGTGGCAATCTTACCCATTGTGCCAGTGCCAGCCCCTTAGCATATATGCTGGAGAAGCCTTCAGAAAAATTATGGTAAATACTCATACAAAAACTACAGAGGGATTTCAAAAAAGTTTGGCACTAAAACATCTTTTTCATGAACTTTTTAAAGCACCTTCATAGTATACAAAAATCTCTGATTTTTTTTCACAAGACTAAAATGTGCAAGTCCTTTGATGTGAATACATTGGACTGGTGGAGTAGCGTCAGGAGGAATGAAAGTTAAGGGGTGACAGGAAACAAATCAGAAGGGCCCAGCACAATGACTCAAATCCTCTGCCTTCAAGTGCCAGGATCCCACATGGGCTCCTGTTCGTGTCCTGGATGCTCCATTTCCCATCCAGCTCCCTGCTTGTGGCCTGGGAAAGCAGTGGAGGACAGCCCAAAGCCTTGGGATCCTGCACCCACGTGGGAGATCTGGAAGAGGCTCCTGGCTTCTGGCTTTGGATGGGCTCAGTAGCCATTTTGGAAGTGAATCAGCATTTGAAAGATCTTTCTGTCTCTGCTTCTCTCTGTAGATCTGCTTTTTCAATAAAAATAAATCCTTTGTAATAAAAAGTCCAGGAAAATATATACTGTTGCACCAGCGATTGGCTCAGACAGACAGGAGTGGACAGAATCCTAAGGAAGCTCCTCCCTGCTCCTCCAGCATCACTGCCATGTCCTCCCTCTACAGCACGCCTCATAAACCCTTCTGTGTGCTCTGTTCACAACAAGAACTTCACGTGTTGTTCCATTCCAGGTTTTCACTAATAAAATCCACACAGAAGGCGGCCAAATGCCTTTTGACACAGATTAACTATGCAGACTTTCAACTGAAAGCAAGTGCAGTTAGGACACAGAGCAGGCGACAGTTTCCATATGTTCCATTCCAGGGATGTGGGACTGTATTATTTATAGTTTACGGCATGTACAAAATCAAAGCTAGCAATGAGGCTCCCAGGGTAGTAAAGGAGACAAAGAGGGGAAGATTTAGAGAATTCCGTCTTGTATGTTCTAAGAAGCCTATCAGAAAGCACACAAACACACACATTTTTAAAATATGTAAGCAGGCTGCAGAAACAGCTGTGGTCTTCGCCTTACAATCCTTTGAGTTCTAACATTAGCAAGGACATTGAAGACTGAAGATGGGGGTTGGGGGACAAATCACTTTGTAACCTTAACAGAGGAAACAAAAGGTTTCTTGAGGTAAGCACGCCAGGGTAAGTCATGGCCTTTACAAGGGTCCCTCTTCCCCAGTGCTAAGTTAACTTGACGTGAGACCAAGCTGATCTCTGACCCAAACGTCTGAAACCACCGAAGGCTGCAGCAAGTCTTAATTGCTTCCTTATTTGAATTAGACAATGAGCTCTCTCTCTCTCTCTGCAAGCGGCAGTCCTCGAAATAGACTGTACAGAGTAATTGAAACAAGTTATACTGGGAAGCGGAGTGACCGATTCCTCCAAGTGTGAGAGCTAAGCTATGGTAACCTCCGAAGCCTGGCCTTCATCCTGTTCCTATTTAGGGACCCCGCAGGGCAGCCAGCCCCGACTGCAGCCGCAGTTGGCCAGCTTTATTGTTTAGACTCCAAGGGAAGGTCACATGCCGCCTTTGACAGCGAGGTTTATGGCTCTCTCTAATTAGCAGCACCCTGCACCAGACAGGCTGTTGGCCACCTTCCAAGAGGGGTTTGGTAGCAGCCACTGATGAAGGAGAAAACAAGGTTATTTACCCTGTGACTGTAATTCTTGGCACAAGCTCGCCCTGCACTCTCAGACACGTTTTCCTTTTGTTCCAGCCTGCCTTTGCAAGGAAAGGGAGGGAAACTCGGCTATATATTTAGCGGTGGAAGCAACCCATACGTGGGCCTCATACTTCTTGCTAATTCTACAGCCGCAAGCAAAAAAGAAGAAGTCACGAGAGAGGAGAAACAAAAGGCCAACGTAGTCGGAGCGGTGTCTGCTACTTGTTAAGTTCTTGAGTACGTGACCTCCCCAGCACACACTGCACCTCACAGGTTTCTTTGCTACTTTGACAACGTACGTTAGGACACTTGAAAATCCCGGCGGTCCAATGTACCGAGCGTTCACAGAGTACCAGGAATACTATTCGCCGGTCCTGCAATGTTGGTTCTGCAGGACGGTGGAAGAAGCTGATAGAAACGCTTTTTGGCTGATTAAAACCAGATGCTCCCGACTATTTTTGTCCCGTTTTCAGGCGGGGCGGTTGTACACAAGGCAACACTGCCCCCCTCGGCCATGCGCCAACCGCAGAGGGGCAGGCGCGCCTCTCCTCCCTCCAGCAGCCACCCCGGCCATAAAACCCTTCCAAGCCTCCATTATTATTCCAGGCACATTCCAAGGGGATTGAATCACGGAGTTCACTTGGCTTTTCTCCCGCCCCAAACTCGCTAGTACCAGGTGGAATACGAACCCACACTTCAACTATGGAATCCAAAAACCGCTCAAAGGGCACTTTCGGGCAAGCTCCAGAAGCAGCCTCTACTTTTTAAATTTCTGGGCCCTTCCCCGAGCCTGGGGTTTGCTTGTCTGCGTAGCTCGAATCACACGCCAGCAAGAGGCTCGCTTGCCAGGTCAAAAGATAAGGGTTTTCTGTGCAGAATCCCGTAGAGCTGTCCTGTGTTGCTCTGCTGGTGCGTGAAGCGCCAGGGGCTGCTAGACGGCGGAGGCGGCGAGACGCAAGCTGCGCCGGAAACGCGATTGCCGAAGGACTGCGAGGCCCATCACGGGAGCCCGGGGTCTCGCGGTTCCTCAGGCTTTTAAGTCCGCCCCAAGGGAGACCTCGCCAGCCCCACCCCCGCGCCCGCCCCGTCTCGCCCGGCCGCGGGCCCGGGGGGTGGTGGGGCGGGGAGCGCGCACAGCTGGGCCGCCCAGGAGCCACATCTGGAGCGCTCGCTCACCCCGGCACCCAGATGTTCCGGGGGCTCAGGGAATCCAAAGCTGTCCAGGGGCGGGATCCCCGCGGCCGCGGCTCCTCCCTCAGGCCGCCAGCCGGGCTCCAGATGCGGGACGTGAGCTGGGCCTGCCGCGCCCGCCTGAGGTTGAGGGGATGGGAGCTCCTGAGCGGCGCTGGGGGCGGCCGGGCGCTGGGGCCCCGCCGCTGGGCGGGAGTGCCTCGTCCAGCCCCGTCCCGAGCCCGCCCCACGGCGTGGGATTTTACAACCCGGGTCCCCCAGGAGACCCCGGCGAAGGGAGCGGCCGGCGGGGATGCTTCCGGGGGGGCGGGGCGAGCGGCCTCGCGGACGGGAACGAGGGCGGGTTCTCCTGCGCTCCGGCGCCGGCGTTTCCTCAGGCGGCGCACAGCGTGCTGGGGCCGGTGGTCCGAGGCCCTCCCGGACGGGCCGCCCCGTGACCCGTGCTCGTTTTCGCCACTGTCCACGCCCTCACCCTAGTTTTGTTAACCTCTGACCGAAGCCACGAGTACCTTCTCGGCTTTGCACCCGGCCCGGGGCTGCGGGAGAGAGGCTGCGCGGGGCGCGCCCCCACACGTTTGTTGGCTCGCTGGAGTTTGGATGTCTCGCTAAGCAACCGTGTTTGCCAAGGATTCAGAGCCTGCGTCTATTTGGATGCTCCCGTCTGAACAAATCGTTTCCATTCGGTTTGTTTAACCAAGGCGAGGGCAGACCGTGTTCTCGCTTAGAAGTTGACCTTCATCCAAGTTGTCCTCAGATTTTCATCCAAGGGTGTCACAACTCCCCAGGTCGTTGCGCAAGTGTTTTGTGACCGGGTAGTAAACCCAAGCGGGGAATGGACATTCTCAAAGAAAAAAAAAATGTACTAATGACAGAAAAACGTGGTTGAAAGATCCTTTTCCATGTGGCTGCCCCAAGGGTTAAGATTTCCTACCAAAGTAAATATTCTCGCGTGGCACCTCTTCCCCACGAGGGGCAAAAGGCGTGAAGGGCCCTTTGGTTCCACCTTATTCACCACTGTAACTCTGGGCTGACTCGTGTTTCTCCCAGCGACTGCAGACTCTCCTGAGAATCAGCCTAGTAAGTGTTCAAGTGTTGGTGCTTCTCTAGCCTACCCCTCCATGCTTGAGGCTTCTGTGTCACCATTCTAAAATACGACAGTACTGCATTAGCACAGGAATGGTGTAAGGGTTAAGGGTCAATGACATGAACAGTGGTGATAAAGTGAGCCCCTAGCATACCATGTGGGAGTGCCAGTGAGCTCCAGGTAGTCCACTGCCGACCACTTCCTATCAAGCTTCTGCTAATGCCACTGCCTGGGAGGCAGCAGAGGTTCTGCCTTTGGTCTGTCCCAACTCTGGCAGTCTCAACCATCTGGGGAGTGAACCAGCAAAGGAAGGATTCTCTCTCTCTGCCTTTCAAACGAATACATCTTCTAAAAAGTGTGAGCAGTGGTGGTCGGAAAGGGTAGCCTCCAAAAGTCTTAGGAATTTGAACACACAGCCGGTAAGCAGCTCAAATTCACAATTCTCTGGCCAAAGCACTTCCCAAAGACCACTCTTGGAGAAAATTTCACTGGGGTGATAGCATATTAGCAGATGCGCGTTGACTTTTTTGTTCTGCCTATCTTCTTTTGCTGACACAGAGGAATCTGACTCAGGCAGACTCTGCATTAAATAAAAATGTAGGCTGTTAGAAATATATTAGATGCACATAAGCTGCAATTCTAAAAAGGCCTGAGCTGATGCATACAGAGGGTGGCTGTTATAACTCAGAGGAGTCTTTTGGATTCAGATTTCTCTAAAGAAAAGAAAGGATTGGGCCAGCTCTTCTGCCTTAACACTAAAAACTGTTTGGTTTCAGAGGTCACTGTGTTTGGGTGATAGTTCCTGACTGTACCAGAGTTCAGCCAAGAGGGGAAGAACTTTGAAGGGTTTGGACTTGAGGAAACATCACAGAAAGGTGAAGAAGGCTACAGAACTCTATCAACACTGAGCTGTGAAGCAAGGGGGAAGACTGGTGACCAGGTAAGTACTAATGTGTTTTAGTGTTCACAATCGATATGTTAATGTATACACTGCTGCATGTTAAGTATAGGAAGTGCATACGTATATTTATACCTGGTATGTCTACTTTATAGAATCTTTTCACATAGATTTCCTTGTTAAGTTTTTCCTCCATCTGTAAGAAAAAAAATTTTTTTTTCTTCAGGCCATGGCTGTGGTCTGTGTGGTTTGTGTGGTGCCCTTGCAGGGAAAGGAACTGGAATGGAAGGTGTTGAGGATTCTGGCTTGCCCTCTGTGGGCCTGTCATTTTGTCAAGAAAATTACTCTAGCGAGAATTGTGGCCACAACCATAGTGTGTTAAGTTCAATATGTCTCCCACACAATTGTCTCTTCATTGTCTCTGAGAAGTTTTTTCAGATGGTAATTCAACTTTCCTCATCTCCCTAGATTCTTTTTCTTCTTACTCCACAGTTAATCTGTCAGCCCCTCCTAATAGCTCTACTGTATAATACAGATATAGCTCACACTTCCATTTTTGCTGCCTCCTACAGTAGCAACTAGTTCAGCATGTCTTGCCCAGCCTCCTGTAATCACCTCCTAATTCTTGTCCCTGCCTCTTCCTCATGTTTCATCCTCCGAACTGCAGAGTGGTCCTTTCAAAGGGGCAGGGACACATTGCCCTCTCTCCTGTGTGGAAGCATCCAGCTGTCTCCTATAACAAGTGGAATTAGGTCCACAATTTCAACCACATGATGGGATCTTGCCTCATCCTTTCATCTCTTACTTCATCAGTTTATTGCTTGCTCATTCTTCTCCAGTCATACCAGCCTGTTACTGCTCTGCCAGAATCCCTACACACTCATGTTAGGGCCATCGCAGCTGCTGTTTCCTCTGCCTGCAACCCTCTGAACTTCCCATGGCTGCTTCTCCTGTCTCATTCAGGTCAGTGTTCAAATGGAACTACAGAGAGGACATTCCTGGCCATCCCATCTAATATAAAGGCAACATGGCCATTGCTAATTTCCAAACAACCAGTCACCCTGCTTTATTTTTTCTTCATATCTGTTAGCAGATCTGTTTGTTTGTTTTTGTGATCTCTAGAACATGTGGTCTCTGAAGACAGGCACTTGGTCAACTTTATTCAGCCAAATATCTCTAATCTAAGAAATAAAACCTGTCATGTAAAAGATATCCAGTAAGTAAATGTTGCATGAATAACGAGTCTGACACTTGAAATAGCAGACCTGACTATGTCTCCCTAAGTTAAGGTGAGCTCAAGAAAATGTTCTCCAAGCTCATGGAGAAGATTAAAATGGAGAAAATAATGTTTACATTTTAAATTTTTAAAAATTGATCTGAAAGGCAGACAAATAGATTTACCTTTTTCTCATTCCCCCAATACTTGGGGCTGTGTGAGACCAAAACTGGAGTCAGAAACTCCATCCAGGTCCTTTGTGGGTGGCAGGGACCATTCCTTGCTGCCTCCCAAGGTGTGCATCAGTAGGAAGCTGGAATGGAAGTGGAGCCAGCCATGAACCCATGCACTCTGAGAAGGGCCGCAGGTGTCAAAGCTGTGCCCTGGACACTGCACTGCAGAGCAGGGATGTCACGAACTTTTCCCTGAGAGCCTGACTGCTCCAAAATGGACCTGAGAGTTAGAATGGAGATTCATCCTACGTACATATAGATAGGTTAGCAAAATTACACCCATCCAGAGCCAGAGAGAAACTATGTAAATAGTGTGGGTTACTCTTTTAACCTCTTTGCTCAGTGAGCATAGGTGGGCAGAGTACGCCTGAGTTGAGACTTGCGAATCTGCTTCAGTCTCAGTTCCCCTGTGCTGTGCGTGGTGTGACCAGTGTGCCACTCTGGGTGTTTAAAGATAGCTTGAACAGCATGGCCCTGAAATGCAAATCAGTTGGGTAAGTGAGTTAGAATCCTGAATCTGCAATAGTAGCTTTCCTCATCTCTGAAACAGGGCTAGTAATACTGCCTCCGTGGGAGAACTAGATGAATGGCAAGTTGAAGTCCATAGAACAGTGACTGGAACCTGGTGAACTCTGTGTGAGCGTTTTCTTAGAAAAACATACTTAGTTGTACTTGATCTCCCCATTTCTGTGTAACTTTACCTTTTGAGCACTCTGCAAGATGCTGCTGCTCTGGTTGGCACCGGAGATTTCGTTGTACTTTTAGACCAGTAAGTTTAGTCTTAGCATCATGCACAATAATTATAGTTATCCCTACTTTAACATTTATTTATAGCCATTGATTCCATTGAGACTGAATTATCCCTAACTTTGCAAAAAAGAAACTTTATCTGTGGGAGGAGGTCACCACCACCACCATCCTGTTACAGTTGAACAAAAAATGTTTTTTACTTTCTAGTTTTGTAAGTTTTTCTTAGCCAGCATTTGTATAACATAATGATGTTATTTGGCAATTGAGTGTTAGTCAGCCCTACAGAAAAATAGATGTCATTGCTTTTCCAAAACCTTCATGCCACATCATCTGTGAACCTGGGGAAGGACCACAGAAAGGCTTTTTCTGTTTTCCTGTAGTTTTTATTAAAACAAAAATAGCTTAGTGGACCAGCACTGTGGCTCAAAAGGCTAATCCTCCATCTCCAAGCACTGGGATCCCCTATGGGTGCTGGTTTGTGTCCTGGCTGCTCCATTTCCCATCCAGCTCCTTGCTTGTGGCCCTGGAAAAGTAGTAGAGGATGGCCCAGCATAACTTCTCCCAGCCTTTTCTCTCTGCTGTTTTCTCCCTGACCTGAGGGTTTCCCACCAGTTTCTTTTCTGAACCAGAAGGAAGTGCCTCTACATCAACTCCTTCTTCTATGCAAGGTAGCATTTGCCCTTTCTCTTCCTAGCAGTCTTAATGGCCAAATAGCAACAGAGGAATACAATTTATAAGAGAAAATTTAAAAATACATTCATTTACTGTTTTCTAGATAGCCTCCCTTTTGTTATGGTAGAAGATTTCCAGTGTTGCTGATAGCTTTTCAGTTTTCAAAGCTTTTTCGTATCTGTTATCTCACTATCAGCGTGTTACAGCATGATGATTAGATTCCCAGGAAACAGATTCTAAGATGGAAATTCACACACAGGAAGTCTCTGAGGGCGGTGCTCTCAGAAATGGCAACTGCAGGGGAGGGAAGGAAACAGGAGAGACCACGAGGCAGTTATATAAGGGGCTCAGCCAGCCTCCCAGGGCGCTCAGCTGAGGGGCACTTCACTTAGTTCCCAGATTGAGACCAGAGATCCTGTCCTTCCTAAGCTGCTCTGACAGTCCTTGGATGGAAGCTGCTTCCTGGGAGGGAGGAGTGACCCCAATAAACCAAACAACCGCATTCAGCTGCATGAAGGGCTCTGGCGGGGCTGAGCTGGGAAGTGTGAGCTGACAGCTCAGGCGGCTGGTGGCTGGCGTGGAGTGCTGCGGTCCTGCAGAGGGGAAGAGGAGTGCACCACAGCGTCACTGCATTTCACCCCATGTGAACCTGGGCCTGCCTCTTCTATCAAGAGTTTTTGAAATCAATTTTTATTTTTTTTTAAAGATTTATTTTTTATTGGAAAGTCAGATATACAGAGAAGAGGAAAGACAGAAAGGAAGATCTTCTGTCCACTGGTTCACACCCCAAGCGGCTGCAGTGGCCAGAGTTGAGCCAAACTGAAGCCAGGAGCCAGGAGCCAGGAGCTCCCTCTGGGTCTCCCACGTAGGTACAGGGTCCCAAGGCTTTGGGCTGTCTTCGACTGCTTTCCCAGGCCACAAGCAGGGACCTAAATGGGAAGTGAAGCAGCTGGGACACAGACTGATGCCCATAGGGGATCCTGGCACTTTTAAGATGAGAACTTCAACCTCTAGGCTACCACACCAGGCCCTGTTCTGTCAAGTTTTATGCATGGCAACCTGGGGCTCAGAGAAAAGAACTCCGTAATATCAAGGACCTAGAGAAAAAGACTATTTACATATTTTCTTTTATTGGCCCTGCAAAATAATTCTTATCAGGCATTTCTTGTTGACTCTGCTTTCAAGAGAATGCTTCTAAGATTCGAAAGGTTTAAGTGACTTCTCCCAGTACTCACGGCCAGCCCCTGGTGGAGCCAGGATTCAGGTCTTCATGTTCCTGGTCTATGCTTTGTGTATGTCATGCACTGATAGGACTTTGTGTCCATGGCTTGGAATAAAGGAATGTTAAAGCTGGTAGAGGACTCCAAAACCAGCACAACCCGCTCATCTCTCTGAGAGACATGACTGGTTGTTCAATGAAATGAAGTTGATTAGCAACTTGTCAGGGCCTCAGTTTTTAAGATTCAAATAAGATCATGGATGCAAAATAAAATGGTGCAGGATTGCCAATGGATGCTGTGCTATGGATAAAGAGAGCAGGGCCAGGCTAGGACAAGAGCATGTCACATTTCAAGGTTTGAAGGCGCTTGCATGTAAAATGATTTTATGACTTGACAAATTCTCTGAGTTCAATTCCTGATAAAGGTGAAAGAACCAATTTCCAAGGAGAGGGAGAGGGACTAGAAAGCTTTCTGGCAGCCTTTGGTTAGAAGTTAAAATCTGGGAGGCCTCTGCTGTGAAGAACACTGATAATCAGCATTTGTAATCACCTAACTTCCTATTCTCAGATAAATAAAATCCCATGATCTGCTTTGGTGTAAAGGAAACACCAGAGTTCCTTCCTGTGCCCTTTGAAACTGTTTGTGACAGTAAAAACAAAGGCTCCAAAATCCGTTTGTGTTTTCTTGTGTCATGCAAGCTGAGATCCTGAAACACCATAACTCAGCTAAGTTCAAGTATCTTCCTTCCTTACCAACAAACAAACCCAGCTTCTCTACTGAGTCCTGAGCACAGGGCTTGAATTTTAGAGAGACTGTGGATTCATAGTTTGGTTGTTTCTTTTCTGTAAAATTTGTGGGGGAATTTATTTTCCTTGCTTTTCACATTGCTAAATACAAAGTTCTAATAATGAGTTATGGCAACAGCAATACAGTCTTTTTATAGGATGAATT